ACGGCCAGCAGTGAAGGACCACGTATCTGATCCGTAAGTCATCACTGGCAACACGCACTGGTTGTACACTTTAGTTTTCAGAGATTGAGGTATACCTGACGAGAAGATGTGTCGTAATTTCCCGAACGCTGCCCAGCCGAGTTGAATCCGTCGATTGACCTCTCGGTCGAAGTTGGACTTACCTAGTCGGACTATTTGTCCCAGGTAAACGTACTCGTCAACAACTTCGAGCATAGTGCTCCCAACAACTACCGGCATAGGTGTGACATGGACATTAAACATGATCTTTGTTTTGTCCATGTTCATCTTAAGACCTATCCGTTGGGAGGCAATATTGAGGTCATTGAGCATAGTGCTTAAGTCCTCCAGCGATTCTGCCATAAGGACTATATCGTCGGCAAATCGAAGGTGAGTGATGTACTCGCCATTGATGTTAATACCGTATGCTTTCCAGTCCAGTAGCTTGAAAACGTCTTCCAAAGCAGCGGTGAAGAGTTTCGGGGATATAACGTCACCCTGTCTTACACCTCTCTGCAGTTGGATAGGTTTCGAGCTCTGGTTCTGTACTCGGATAGCCATCGTAGCCCTACTGTACAAACACTTCAGCACTTCGATATACCGACAGTCAACTTGGCACCGCTGAAGGGACTGCAGCACCGCCCAAATTTCGACGGAATCAAAGGCTTTCTCATAGTCCACATACGCCAGACAAAGTGGCAAATTGTACTCTTCAGTCTTCTGTACAATCTGCCGCAGGGTATGTATGTGGTCTATGGTACTGAAGCCTTTTCGGAAACCGGCTTGTTCGGGAGGCTGGAAGTCGTCGAGTCTGCGTGCGAGACGATTCGTAATGACTCTCGAAAACAGCACGTAGACGCGGCTCAGAAGGGAAATCGGTCTGTAGTTCTTCAAGAGAGCGTTGTCGCCTTTCTTAAAGAACAAGACCACCGCACTTCTGCTCCACGCCTCTGGAGTAGTGCCACCATGAAGGACGGAATTGAAAAGCTTCTGAAGGACTTCAAAGTACCGGTGTTCCACCCGCTTTCAGAAGCTCCGCTGTAATTCCATCCTCGCCTGGGGCCCTGCCGTTTTTAAGGTGCTGGAGAGCCATTCTAATCTCGCTTAGACTGACGTCCGGGATATCATCGGAATAGTGTCGGATAAGACTTGCTCTTGGATCGTTACTCACATTTGCGTGTGGCTCCAACGATAATGTGTACAGCTGCCCATAGAACCTCTCAATCTCACTCAAAATCTCAGGTGTCCCGGAAACGATGCTGCCACACTCAGTCTTCAGCCTTAACAGTTGGCTCTTACGGGCAGACAGATCTCTGGCAAAGACTTTGGAGCCCTGGTTCCGCTCGATCGCTTCTTTAATACGAGCAGTATTAAAGTTGCGTAAGTCTCGCCGCATGCATTTGGAGATCTGTCTGTTCAGTTGCCTGTATGCTGTCAAATCTGTTGACGATTGCAGCCTCATCTCCCGTCTAACAGCCATGAGATTAAGAGTGTGATCGGAGAGTTTTTGTGTTCTTCTGCGGCGGGTCTTGCAGAACTTAGCTCCGACCGCATGGACAGTTTCCACGAGCTTGTCATTCACATCGTCCACTGCATTGCAATCTTGTAGGCACTGAAAGCGGTTGTGTAACTCGAGCTGAAAGTTTTCGGGATTTTGAATTAGAGCACGAGGGGGACGGAGCGTTGACTTCATTAGACGAGACCTCTCCAACTTAACGTTTAGGTTCAGTGTGCCTCTAACCATTCGGTGATCGCTGCCAGTTTTCACCCTTGCGATCACTGAGACATCACTGAACAGTTGGCGTCTGGTCGTCATAATGAAGTCAATCTCATTTTTTGTCGAACCGTCGGGGCTCGACCAGGTCCACTTCCTGTGGGGCCGCTTCTGGAAGAAAGAGTTCATCATAAAGAGTCCCTCTTTCTCCATAAAGTCGGCCAGCTGCTGGCCCCTTCGGTTCCGTTGCCCTACTCCAAATTTCCCTAACTTCAGCTCACCGTTTTCTTTTGTGCCTAGTTTTGCGTTGAAGTCTCCCATCAACACCGTGTAGTGGGTTTTGGAGGAATGCATGGCTTTGGAAATATCCTCATACATTTCCTCCACCTCCTCATCGGAATGTGCCGAGGTTGGTGCGTAAACCTGTATGACCTTCAGCGAATACCGTTTGGTGATTTTGAGTATCAGGTACGCGACCCTCGTCGACACACTACCAATCTTTACAACGTTGTTGACGAGAGACTTGTGGACGATAAATCCGACACCTCCTTGGGACAGATGGTCGCCCTCCCGGTGATAGAACAAGTTGCCGGATTCGAGAATCACCGTGTCCTCCCCCTCTCTTCGGACCTCGGATAATCCTATTATACTCCAGCGCAACTTGTCTATCTCTTCTTCCAGCTCCAGGATCTTCTCGTCAGTCCTCAGTGTGCGTGCGTTAAATGTTGCCAGGTCGAGTCGTCGTAGGTGGCAACCGAACCTCCACCGGAGATTCTTAGCACCCCCTGCCCCGCCGTTACCATGGTCGCCACCGTAGCCAGGAATAGCGGGGCCGCCGGGGACTGGGGGCCGTCTATACGTCTATATTGTGTAATTGTTCATGGGGGGTATATTGCCATAGTTGCCACGCTTGGCGAGCGGGTCGGCAACCGCAGTTTTTTTTTTGTCGTACAGTTGCTATTATCAGGAAGATGCTGCTGCCCATCTCCTGCCTGTTTCCCTCTGTCGCCTTTTACGACACCCACGGGAAGATATGGGGTAGTGGATATTCTTAACCGCCACTACACGGCACAACCTTGATTACCTGATACCTGGGAAATGGCCGTCTGGCCAAGCTAGCAGGTAGGCATGCGATCATAGTAGATACTAACACTACTCAATTTCGCACATTTCGTTCGTTAGAAAAAAGTGACATTTGCGTCTGGTGGCTCTGGCATCGTGGACTATTAATATCTTAAACATAGTTTAGATGGTTTTGACTTGAGGTTACTATAAATTAACTGTATAATAGAATGAACCTAAAATAAAGTAATAATTTTGTTCAGTAATTCAGCACTTAATATGTTTATATCAATCAGACTGTAGCGTGTTGGCGAGCATGGGAAAATTGTATTAAAATGCCACTACGAGCTAATCACCAATATTTAAAAAATGGTTTTGTAGATCATCATACCACGATTTGGTCGTAACGCTGTGATGCGTTTTATTTTTGAGAAAACAAAGATTTCGGCTAGTAGTGAGCGTAGTATTTTACATGAACCCTTGGGGAAGAGAAAAGTGGCTGCTCGTTGGAACCTGGTACCCAAAATACTTATCAATGCGCAGAAAAACACCAAAATGAATATTTCACAAGGCTTTTTGGAGCTGTTATATCAAGGTCTTGATCAATTTTTTTGCTCGATATTTGTAACCATACGGTCGATCCCGAAACCTTCATTATCTACTTCTAAGAAATACAAGGACAGTTCCTGAGGCGATAAGTTCATGGGTTTCGTACTAGTACAGATGATAATAGAATATACTATTGATGACTTGTAAGCAGAACAAATTAACAAATGCAAGGAAATCCATTAGAAATGGCGGGGTAATTAGCAAAGGTTTTGTTTCACCAAGATAATGTTCCGGTGTATAAGTTCGCCGTTGTCATTGCTAAAATCCAAGATGCTGGATGCTATATGGGACCACATGATAAGCACTAGCTTTCAAATAAAACAAAAAGTCATCAAAATTAGTTCACCTAGAAAAAAATTCTGAAGTCACACAAAAAAATACAGTCGAATTGAGTACCTCCTTCTGTTTGAAATACGTTAAAAACTCATTGTCACTTTTTATTGAACGCCCCATGTATGTGTACGAAAACTTTTAAAACACTTATACTACGTACTTCAACTTCTTAAAAAAAAAACTTTTTCCCTATTTATATTCCGCTTGTGAATTTGTGAGAGTCTATATAATTATTATGTCAGTGTACTCCGCAGTAAAGTTAAAAAACTAAAAGATATCCTCGTTAGTATTGTGAAATTGTCGGAATTATTTTAAAGTTGCAACTTAATTAAATCAATATCTCACCGGCACGGACGCAAAGCTGTAACTGACATGGGCGACCAACATGTGGACGCGACTTGCCGAGTGCAGGCGAGGGCCTTTGATTTGTGCAGAAAAACTGACACTGTTCGGAAGTGGACGAGTCGTAGCGAGCGATCCCGAGTGGCGGCAAGGTACGCCAAACGAACCGTATACACGTTGGCGTTCGCCTGCACTCGGCCAGATAGGCGAGCGTCGACGAGCAATGGCGAGGCTGGACAAATGGGCTGTCTATACGTTGGTGCTTGCCTTCGCTCGGCCAACATGTATAGCCAGCTTAATACATGAGAGCCAAGTGTTCTCGGCTATACTGACGACAAAAAAACCATACTTTAAAAGTATGCATCACCGCATCGAGGCAATTTGAGGGTATAATATCTGCCTTCCCCCTCCCCTCCTCATCTCTACGAAGGTGCCCAATAGAAATTTTTTAATTTAACATTTAAACTGTTTTCTATTTATATTTATCAAGTATAGATGAAGGTGATTTGGGAACTAACTGTCAGTAATGCTTAACCTATGAAACGTGTGCGATGTTGGTAGATAATCCATAAGTGAAAAGGACGGCTATTGGGGAAATACTGTTTTGATACTGTTTTAAAACTGAATTTTTATTGAGAATAACTTCTCTATTAATATATAAAATAGAACACAAGTAGAAATCCCGATTAGGTAACAATCATATTACCGTTTTTAGTTGGATCAAGTTTTATAGTGTCTTGTTACTATAAACTTTCCCATATTTGGGATAAATACTTGTTACTTAGTTTATATTGCAGATTTTATTGCATAATTTACCATTAAGTCTATAGGTATACCGACCTACTATCCATGTGACAGTGACGTAGATAGTTTTGATTTTTATTTCGTATTTTAAACTGCAGGATGTAATAAAAATGAAAGGATGAATATCAATGAAAGGAAGAATATCAATGAAAGGAGCGAGAAAATAGATTGGGGTGATTCTCCAAATTCAAACAATATATCAAATGATTTTCTGTCCGATCTTCTGCCACATTATGTCACTCCACGTCACAGGCGAATGAATACTATTATAGACAGTGATTTCAATGATGTTATTATAGGTCATAGTAAGTATATTATTATATTATGTAAAAATATAAGATTATATTATGTAAAAATATAAGATCATATTAGGCAAAACGCGGCAAAAAGTTTTCGTACGGATACACGCCGTGCGAAAACTGTTTGCCTCGTTACATAATTTCGCAGGTATCGTCACAATCGGTTTAAGACAAAAACAAACTCATACTGTTAGCGTATAATAATCTCTAATATAGGTACTTCGCCTATAATAGCTGCATCTTTGACGTGGTGTATTAAAGAAAGGAAAAGAACGAACGAATTGACATCCATGATATGTGTAAAAATTATTTATTTACATCCATCCAGCAACCTCAGATTACTTTTTCTTAGCCAGCCACATACATAACGCATTCCTTAATTATCGATAAATCTGAATATATTTCTGTACTTAACATTTTAAAATACCACAACAGTGCATTTAATGAATAATCTAAGTATTGAAACTTGACTCGTTCATAAACTGATTTTTTTTACTAATTTACTTACGATAATTTGTTTGTTATGCTTTATAATTTACTCAATGTCCGTTTCGAAGATCAGATTTTAACATAAGAAAAATTTTATATTTCAAGGGGCTCAAGAAACGATTAAGTTGCGAAAAAACTTACTTTCTGGAGAAAGTAATCTAAATTATCAACAAATAAATATTGCGTCTAAGAAATTTTCATCTGACTCTAAGAACAATCAATCTATTAAATCAACGTGTAAAGTAACAAAGAGAAGAAATTCACAGAAAGACAAGGTTTATAATGAATTTGTTATTCCGGAACTGCCTAACGGAAGACTGTTAGAAATAAAGATTCATTCAAACTGGGGAGATAAATTTTTAGTTGGCTTAAATGGTATTGAACTTTTTGACGTGGATGGTGAATTGGTAAATGCAGAGAAGGTTAGTCGTTATTGTCATTAAATATTTTTTATTGTTGATGAAATTATTTTATATATTAAAAAATTACCTCTTAACTTGGCATCTTATATCGCCAATTTGGCCGATAAACTTCTGTTTAGGTCGTCCCTTGTCGACTCTGGTAATAACTTCTACATCGTATATTTGCTATGTCACTCTTTCCTACGTGTCCAAACCACCGAAATCATTTCCTTCTAAATTTTGGTCACAACATCTTCTTGCAAATCACATTCTTATCTTATCACACAATTTCCCACCCTAATAAACAAAGTAACACTTAAAATGCTTCTTAGTGACCGCGTTTCTAAATCGTTAACTTTATTCTCATGCTTCTTCTGCCACACCTAACTTTCACAATAGCACAGCATTGTGTAATGCCATACCTGCCTTAATTGATACATTTTAACTTCTCACAATAGCTTGAAGAGCCTCATTTACTGTGTCTTGCATTCAATCATCGTTCTATATTCTAGTCATATCTACCGTCCCTGCTAAACACGTTTCTTAGTTTAGGTAAAACTCATCCACTTGTTCGACCAACTCCTCTACTATACTTATTTTACGTATTGTTTTACTTTTTTCTCCTTTTAAAAAACCCATTACTTTCGTATACGTTAATTTATGCAACTATCATCATTATCAACTCCCTCGCCGACGACGCAAAAATATTTGATCGTCGCGTCGGCGTATCAGGGCCATCGTTTTATAAAAATAATTCTACGTATATCGAAATATATTTAAGTTATAGTAAAGAAAACTATTTTTTTCTTATATAGAAGAATTTTAATCGGTTGCGGAGTATATAAGTACCTACCTGTTTTAATTTAGCAAACCATTTCATTTATTTGTGATGAAATTCGTTAGGTAAATTGAACTTTTTCGTTATGCTTTACTTTTACCAACTAACGTCAATTTAATATTTGAACAGATATGGTCAGATACAGAAACAGGTGATACGAAGCACAATCGTGCTGATAGCATTGTGGATGGCATAGTTAGAACGAAGGATGACAAACACACTTGGTGTGTACCGATTCCGAACACAGCACCAATTGTTCTCAGTGTACTTCTGGCTAAGTGTACCACGTTAGCTCTGCTAAGGGTTTGGGTAAGTCGAGAGTGTATGAAGAAATATTTTCCAAATTTTCCATCCGTTTTCTATTGTTAGTAAGTTAGTTAGTTCATGGATTAATTTCTATGTCTAACAATTAACACATATTTAACTTTCTATTTGTCAACAGAATTACAACAAATCCAGAATTTATTCCACCCGTGGTGTGCGTTTCGTTCAAATTAAACTGGACGACCAAGTGATATTTCAAGGAGAAATCGCGAGATCCAGCGGGGAGCTCAAAGGCCTCCTGCCGACATTCGGTGACGTACGTTCGCTTCTAAATTTGAAATAAAGAGAAAATGATAACAAATTTCTATTAAGCTGTTAGGAAATATATAAAGATTTTTATTCTACAAATTGAAAAACAAACTAATAAATATTTAAAAAAAAATAATGAAAGAAAGTAACAGAGGTTAAGTCATACGTAATAACTACTAACACTTTATTCACAGACAATTCTGTTCACAAAAGACCCGAATGTATTGGAACGGATAATGTTGAATGACAAAAATTTCCAAGCACTACTCAGAGAAAATGATCTCGTGAACGACTACTCCAGCATTGTAGAAAAGCGACCTCCTACAGCTAACGATAGTAATAATATAAGTCCAACTACTGAGGAACCTACAATAGTAGAAGAGAAGGAGATCAAATATGTGGCTAAAGTGATTAAGCTGACCTTAATGTCGAATTGGGGGCAGACGCATCTTATAGGATTAACAGGTACGACATATTATATCTTGCATTTCTGATAATATGTTTGCGAGACGATGTAACCACGATTTAGAAAAAAATGCATCGGTGTATGTATGTATCAGATAATAATGACAAAGCAATTTATGCTGCAGAAATGAGTGACACCACAGGCAAAGGACACCACAGACGAAAGTTTTTCGAATCGGCGATTTATTTAAGGAGGCCAAATTAAAAGTACCCTTAACTGAAAAGCATGCATGCGTAGATATATTATGAATGTGAAAGAAGCCAAGAAATTTGTCAGGATAGCTCTAGTTTCTGCCTGCCCCGCAGGGTGATGCGGGTGATGTTTATCTATTATGTAACATTACATATAACATAAATACTCACGTCTGTCACCCAGAGGGGTAGGCAGAGACTACAGACTTCCATTTGGCACGATCCTGACACACCTTTGTCGCCTCCTTCACATTCATATACCCACGCATACATGCTCGTCGGTTAAGGGTACTCCTAATTTGGTTCGTTTTCAATAAATAGCCAATTTGGTCGATAAATTTTTGCCTAGGACGTCCCTTTCTGACTCTGCCATTCACTTCTGGAACATAAATTTTCTTTGTCACTCTTTCCTCATTCATTCTTTCCACATGACCAAACCACCGAAGCATTCCTTTTTTAATCCTGGTCACAAAATCATCTTGCAAACCACACTCTTCTCTTATAACACAATTTCTCACCCTGTCATTCAGATTCAGCCCTAACATACTCCTTAACGACCGCATTTCTACTGCGTTCATTCTACTCTCGTGCTTCTTCTGCCACACCCAACTTTCACTACCATACGTTAAAGTAGGGACCAACACAGCATTGTGAATTGCCATACGTGCCTTTTTCGACACATTTTGACACAATAGAGTGCAGGGCCCCATTTACTATATTTCCTGCATTCACTCGTCGTTCTATATCCTTATCACATCTCCCATCCCTGCTTAATACGCAACCCAAATATACAAACTCATCTACTTGCTCGATCAACTTCCCTTCTATTCTTATTTCACAAATCGTTTTACTTTCTTCTTTTTCAAAAACCATAACTTTCGTCTTACTTGCGTTCACTTTCATACCCCTTTCTTTAATAATCTGTTCATTAATGTAACCATATTTGCAACTCGGCCGCCGACGACGCAAGAATAACTTGATCATCTGCGTACAAAAGGCATTTGACGGTTAACTCACCCATTCTTAATCCGCATTCTTCAACTTTCAAATTTTTCAAGCAACTGTCCATAAATATGTTGAACAGCCACGGGGAAGCCACACAGCCCTGTCTGGCACCTTTATGGATGCCAAGCCAGTCCGAGTAGACCCCATTGATCCTAACACAAGCACTAGAGTCTCTATAAAGAGACTCTAATGCCTGTATCAAGCCAGTGTTCAACCCAAATGAGTTCAGTGTTTGCCGTAGCACATCCCTATCCACTCTGTCATAGGCCTTTTCCAAGTCCATAAACGCACAAAAAACCTTTTTGTTTTGGACCAAAAACTTCTCCGCGATCATGCGCATGGAAAAGACTTGATCTGTACATCCCATTCCCTTTCTAAAACCCGCTTGCACATCCCAAATTTTTCCATCAGTTTCTTTCATGACCCTTTCAATCAGTATCTTAGCATACAGTTTTCCCACAATGCTAAGAAGGCTGATACCACGGTAGTTTTTACAGTCCTGCTGCGACCCTTTTCCTTTATATACTGGGACTATCACGGCTTTGCACCGGTCTACCGGTACCCGCTTCAATTTCCAGCATAAATTAAACAAGGTGTGCAGCAGGCCTCCCACAACTTCCTCTCCAGCTCTTAGCATTTAGAGTGAAACTCTATCATATCCGGCAGCCTTACCTGCTTTCATGCTTTTCATTGCTTTCATTATTTCATCTATACTTATCTCGCTACCTCTTTCCTCTTCTTTCGGAGTTTCTACTTCATTTAGTTAACTACTACATAAACACGCTAAAACTTCATTTAGTTCTACTTCATGAACACGCTTTCAAAATATTCCTTCCATCTCTTTAAACTCAAAACTTCATCATTCAGAATATAGCAATTCTCGTCTCTTATAGCATACATTATAGGCTGTTTTGAATGTCTCCCGGCAGTTCTTACAAGATTCCAGAACATTTTAATATTTGCCTGGAAGTTATCCGATATTCTTCTATCATTCTTATCCGTTCTTTCTTGCTTTTTCCTTTCAACTACTTCTTTTACTCTCTTATTTAGATGTCTAAAGACTGCCTTTTTTCTTTCAATATCATCATTCGTACCGCTAGAATTACCAGCCTTTGTTGCTAGTTAATCTAGCGATGCTCTCTTCTTTATCTTTATCTTACATACGTATCTCATCATCCCACCATAACGTATTATCTATTATGTGTGTCCTTGTAAGGACACATAACGATGTGGCTTTTAAAAGGCTCATAGATGGAGCATGTTTAAAATCACTAGGGTGAGAGGATTCCGTGAAATGATAAGAAAACTTCTTCATCAGTAGTTCATAAAAATCTACTGCATATGGATCTCCCTGTAGGGAAATTTTGCCATAAACACCATACGTGGTATGCGGATTGATGATCGCAGTACTAGACGTCTAGACGTCGCGCTGTTTCTCGCCAACAGTTCACGTCGTGTAAACGGGTTTGTTTTATTGCTATCTATCAGAAATCATGACATTTTTGTACTACTTCCCATAGTCAACTCTTACGACGACGACGGCGGGACGAAATGGGGTGATGCATTTTTTTTACACCACCACCGTATTACAATAAAAAAAAGTTACACGAGGATAAGCTCAGTAAAAATTTTGTACCCACTAAACATATCACTACGCAAAGAAAAAAAATATGCATAGAAAAAACAAAAAGTAGGTAAATGGCTGTCATATTCTAGCGTATGGTTCTCATACTAGCGCCCTTTTAAAATTCATTGTGGAGCAAAGGTTCATATTCACATTACTCAAATTTCCTTATTCTTTATTGCATAAAGTTCGTTCAATATTTCGTTGTTTGTTTCAAATAAACCTACCTATGGATGCTGCCAAATAGCAGTGCTTCTACTGCCATATTCCGGACTGGTGGATATAGAGTGCCAGTATAACTACAGGCACTCTTCTTAGTCCTCAGAGGTGATAACGAATCTGTAGTTTTCTTTATTTGAAGTTGGCTGTTTTGTCCTTGGACTGCAGCACTCTTACCGTCAGGTGGACTGTTAGTTCGTTATTCACATTCGTTTCATAAATAAAAAATCAGTTACATATTAAATTACAGGTTGGGATTTGAATACGAATATTAATTTAAAAAAGTTTTGTTTTTTTCTGGCAACAGGAATAGAGGTTTTCAAATACAACCGTTCTGTACAAGTGCACAGCGCGTATGCATATTCTGCATATATAAGCGACGACAAAGTGGAGGAGTACGGCGGTCTAATAGATTGTAAAAGTCTCTTAAATGGAAGTAACATTACTACTAATTTTGACGACATGTGGTGCGCAAACTTCTCGCCCGGTTCCAAGTTTTGCCATATAGTTCTCGAGTTGAAAGAGCCTACTGAAATTTCCAGTAAGTACTATTGTGTGTTCAGAATAACAATTTTGCTTTTAACGTGGACTATATGAAACTGTAATCGAAAGATTAAGCGCTGCCATACCGAACATCAGATTGCCGTAAAACTTTATTAACTTGAGCGTTACATACACATTATAAAATAAACTTACATTAGGTGGCTCGCTTATTGTACCGACAAATATACTTGAAAGATATATAATTTCATTCTTAATTAAACAATATAACTATTCCAAATATAAAACGATATTTCCGCATTTATTTCTTGTTCGGTAGCAACGTGTCGGGTATCAGTTAGTTATATTACTCCAACTGCCGTCATAATTTCAGCAAAATCTATACCAAGAATACTATGTGTTGAATCATTTTTTTATTATAAATAAATGGAATTTCTTCAACAATAGTTAACAATAGTCTTTACAATTACTTAAATTACATTAAGTATATCGATATTAATTTTTTGGAATTAAATTAAGATATCATCTTTGGGTATCTTAGAAAAAATACGAAGGTAAAATTTTGTGGACATAAAATTAGTGTGTGAAAGCTAGTGGTCTCCGCGATAAGAATCCATGAAGATTTCCCCTCGTGCATAATATTTACATTTCTTATTACTTCACTCCCATCGAGGAAATGCGTAATTTTTTGAAACGTACTTAAAGTGTGAGAAACGAAACGTCCTTTCAGGTATTGCGCTTTTAATAGAAATTTTAGTACATGGCAGGGCCAAATATTCGGTTCGAAAGGTCAAGGACCACGTTCGTGTACTAGCGTGAAATAGGGCCTAAAGCCCGGTTTACATTTTGAGAAGTGACAAGTGCGAGCGGCAATGACAAGTGACAAATTACAAGTGACAAATAGCAAGTTGGTGTTCACACATGTGGCAATTGGATGTCATTATTATGTGAAATCTTCGAGTGTGAAGTTGGGTAGGTAATTGTCAAAGAGGCGCTAGCATAGCTTTAAACTTTAAAACTTTAATCAAAAAAAGGTAAAATTGTATGATGAGATACCAAAGATGTGTGAAGTGCCTTATTGCAAAGATATTGGTGCACACCAATTTCCTAGAAACGCTTAAGTGAGAAAAATGTGTCTTAAGTGACAAGTGCGTATTTTATTCCCACTTGTCACTTGTCACTGCCTGTTCACACGCACTAGCAATTGTTATTTGTCAGTTGCACTTGTTATTCGCACTTGTCACTTCTCAAAATGTAAACCGGGCCTAAAGCCCGGTTTACATTTTGAGAAGTGACAAGTGCGAGCGGCAATGACAAGTGACAAATAGCAAGTTGGTGTTCACATATGTAGCAAGTGGATGTCATTATTATGTGAAATCTGCGAGTGTGAAATTGGGTAGGTAATTGTCAAAGAGGCGCTAGCATAGCTTTAAAGTTTAAAACTTTAATCAAAAAAAGGTAAAATTGTATGATGAGATACCAAAGATGTGTGAAGTGCCTTATTGCAAAGATATTGGTGCACACCAATTTCCTAAAAACGCATGAGAAAATGTGTCTTAAAGCAAAAAATTTTAGCCTGAAAATAAAATGGCTCCAGTCCCTGACCTACAGGAGTCTTTAATTTTCTTCTTTTCTTGGTAATGTGTAGACTTAATGCTTCTTAACTTCGCATATACCCACTTCTTTTGCGCCGAAACCGGCCATTCCCGTTGCTTGAGATATTTAGGGCATAGCAGCGTCTCGCATCATTTTATTTTTTTAATTCTGCGATTTAATATTGTATAAACATTCGTGTTTCAATAATTCCTTGACAAATTTAATGTTATTGCTATCTGACCACTTCGTAATAAAACAAAATTACTATAAATACGAGTATGTATACAATATATGTAACAAAAATATTTTATTAAATAACTATTATAACCAACACGTGTATGTTCTGACGTCACCGCTAGAACGGGGGCGGCAGTGGGTGACTGAGGGGAAAGGTTAGCGCGGGGCAGAGATACTAGTCAGACAATAGAGCAGGCCGCTATTCACTTGTTACTTTTCATTTCGCACTTATACTCACTCCACTTGTCACTGCCTGTTCACACGCACTAAGCACTTGTCATTTGTCACTTGTCATTGTCACTCGCACTTGTCACTTCTCAAAATGTACATTTTTCACTTCGCACTTGTCACTTGTCAAAATGTACATTTTAAAAAAAAAATGATGCGAGACGCTGCTATGCCCTCAATATCTCAGGCAATGGGAATGGCCGGTTTCGGCGCAAAAGAAGTGGGTATATGCGAAGTTAAGAAGCTTTAAGTCTACATATTACCAAGAAAAAAAGAAAATTAAAGACTCCTGTACATCAGGGGCTGGAGCCATATTATTTTCAAGTTTAAATTTTTTCCTTGTTATAACCTTATGACACATTTTTCTCACTTAAGCCTTTTTAGGAAATTGGTGTGCACCAATATCTTTGCAATAAGGCACTTCACAGATCTTTGGTATCTCATCATACAATTTTACCTTTTTTTTATTAAAGTTTTAAACTTTAAAGCTATGCTAGCGCCTCTTTGACAATTACCTACCCAATTTCACACTCGCAGATTTCACATAATAATGACATCCACTTGCCACATGTGTGAACACCAACTTGCTATTTGTCACTTGTCATTTGTCACTTGTCATTGCCGCTCGCACTTGTCACTTCTCTTGTATTTGTACGGTGTACGTGACGAAAGCCGGAGACAATTTTACTGATAACGAGGCTTTCTTTGTCCTCAGTAGTAACTGCATCTGTATACTGCATTATTATTAATAGCGGATAGTCCGATAGTTCGTCGAATATTTACAATAGATGTATATGTGCCAGCATCTGTACTTTGCATCAGGAGAACTGTGGGCTCGTTTACAAGTTACAAATAAAATATAATTATACTGAAATTCGATGATTTTCTAGAATACAATAGAATAGAATAGTATAGTTTTTTAGTCAATATTATATGTAGTATATATATATGGTAAAGGAGAGATCTTATATATTTCCTAGAAGTAAATATTCAATAAAATTGTACTTTTATAATGTAGTTTTAAATCTAAAAACATGTCTTACTCGTATTTCTAGATCTAAGATTCCTTTCTTCACATTTAAAGACATCTCTTCAAACATTGCTTAGTTTTATAAAGGGTTTTTCAATAGGCGCGGGTAGATTTTGGCGGCCCATGGCGGCTATTTTGTTTTGGTGTGATCTATACATTGAGCTATTACGTACTACGTACTAGAGGCGACACTGCATTCAGCTACTCTGTTCCACTCAACTGCGGTGCGAACACCGCACTTCAATCAGTCACTTGCTGGGCGCTTGTAGAGTTGTCACGTGTTGTGTTGATTTAAAAAAAATCTCTTGATAAAAACATGTCGTCGTGTGTACTTAGATATTACACAAATAATTCAAGAAATGTCAGTAAAAACCAAGGAATTACTTTTCATCAGTTAATAAGATACTTAATAAATAATAAAAGTATTATAGATTAATAATGAAACAAATTATTCCTAAGACGCCATCTCATGTCATGGAATATGAAATTAATTTGTAGATTATGAAATTAATATGTTCAGATGCGACATTTCTGTGGGTACCTAAGTATAGGACGAATATTATATTATTATACAATTTTTTTTTGTAAAAACATAAATAAGTTATTATAATTAGGATAAATTTTTCATGTTTAAATCTGCTTATTATTCTTTTATTTTATTTTTAGGTATACACATCAAAGTCAAAGTGATAAAAAAATTAAATTCGTCCATTTTTAACTTTCGCGTGCCCACCATTTATAAACGACTCTTATTCTAATTTAAAAAAATATATTTGTAATTTAAATGTTGTTAATAAGTTTTGTTAAACATACATTTAGTATGTTTTTTTATATTTGACATAGATACCTTTAAAAATTCTGATAAAAATATCATTAAAATGTAATTGTGATATAATATTATGTAATATTAAAATATACAAAATAAATACAAAATAAAGCAAATATAATATACAAAATACATCACAAAATTTAAATATTGTTCTCAATATAATTTACCTATTTAACAATATAATCTACTATTACCTACGGTACCGTTCTACCTACGTTTATTCTATGATAAAAAAACCAACCGCGCGAACACAGAGTAACGCACATTTTTTGTTTGAGATAGCTGTTATAGTACGTAAGAACATATTACTTCAATGGATCTATCAAATCTTTTGTTTATTATTCAGTTACTTATGGGAAATCACCATGGTAAGTTCATGATTGAACAGCGCGTTAAAACGATAAAACTTTATTATCAGAATGAGTGTTTGTGAGTGCAAACAATGCGCAAATTTTACGATAGACGTGGTGTTGTTTCACAGTCGACTCTTTAACGTTTAATGGTCAAATTTGAAGCTACAGGTTCGTTGAAAAATCAGACAACACGCGTACGTTCAAGGAACGCAAGATGGACCGAGAACATCATCGCGGTTTGTGAAAGTGTACAACAGAACCCTAGGCAGTAGATTCCTCGCCGTGCACAAGAATTCGGCCTTTCGCAGACTTAAACTTGGCGAATTTTGCGTTGGGGCTTAGGCCTACTCCCGTACAAGATCTCACTGACCAAGGAGCTCAAAGTTCATGACCATAGACAACGCCGTTTGTGCTTCGAATCGTTTGGAAGAGGACCCCAATTTTGGCTGAAAAATCATCTTTAGCGACGAGGTGCATTTTTGGATGAATGGCTGTGTTAACCGGTAATGGGAAGATATCAAGCCACGCAAAGTTCACCAGGTGATAAGCATCCTTAAAAAGTTACTACCGGTGTTGGTGTGGATTTTGGGCCGGCGGCGTCATTGGTACGTACTTTTTGAAAACGACGCTGGTGAGGCGATCACCGTCAACGGCGAGTGCTACAGAATCTCACTACCAAATTGTACCATATGGACCTCATAGGTCCGGCATGTGATTCCAGCAGGACAGCGCTACGTGCCACAAAGCAGCCGCCACGATTGACATTCTCCATGAGCGATTAGAGGGTAAGCTTATCCCTCGCAGGGGTGATGTGAATTGGCCACCAAGGTCATGCGATTTGACTCCGCTAGACTTTTCTTGTGGGGTTTCTTGAAGTCACAGGTCTATGCTAACAAACCACAATCAACCAATGCCCTTAAGGTGATCATAACATTGGCCTTAGCTCAAATTCAGCCGGATCTATGTAGAAGAGTCATTGAAAATTGGATCACTCAAATCCGTGCATTTGAATGATGTCATGTTCCACACTTAATGACACATGTGGGAATTTCAAATAAAAAAAGAATTTTGTTGATATCTTACACACAGTCTGTTTTATTTCATTTCAAAATTTACCCGCCCTTATTGAAACCCTTTATGAACAAGTATAGTGGCTCGAAGGACCAACGTTAAAACCATAATTATCATCTTGCCTGTAGCTCATATTTTTGTTACACAGCATGTAAAAGACTTTTTAAAATACTTTGTCATAAATAATTATTATTAATTTAATTAATAATAAATATACATTTACCACTTGATCTAAACATTTAAGTTAAAAATAGGATGATCTCTCTATAGGTGTCCGCGTATGGAACTATAACGCGAACATGGAGTTATCATACATCGGTGCCAAGCACGTTCGCTTATACTTGGATGGTAATCCTCTAAACTACCGACCTATCCTCCTGCGAAGAGCGCCCGGTGACACATGCTACGATTATGTGCAGCAACTTGAGCTTGCCACGATTGACGACAGGTTAGATTTCAATGTTTACCCTAAGAATGTATTGCGTTGGTTTTATTTGTAAATGGAAAGTATTACAATTTTATCATCAACTTAAAACAATGTAGCGTTGTTGTAACTGTTTGTATACTCAAAAACAATATGGGCTGGCCAAATAGGTCGAAGGACCAACAACGGTAGATGAGTAAGGTTCTCGAGTAGCAACCTCGTACCGATAAGTGAAGTGTAAAATGGGCAATCAGATAGAGTGATAGATTTGTAACAAGTCAAAGGATGCAGATGGATTAATGTAATGATGATGATGATGTATAGGAAGATGATTATTAGGCATAAGAAAGTTGGACAAAATTTAGTTTGATTTGGTACTGACTCGCAGTAAATTAATATGATACCAATTTAGGGAGATAAATTGTTTAAATAAATAAATAAATCCACAACACGGACAGTTATAATGTTTATTTTAGCACAAACAAGCGAAGATCCACAACCCAAGATAAAAGAGTTTTGTGATAAAATATAGTTACAATAGTAGGCGAAATAGAAATTAGAATACAGTCCAGAAAAGCGCAATTAATATCGTAATAATTAAAAGTCTAAGCGCGAGAACAAAGGATTAGCGATAGCGAGCAACGTGCGTTCCGCGTCGTATCGGTAGATCGACTGGTGTATAAAAAAGTACTCTGTGACTGGTGCAGACTGGTGAGCGCCATATTACTGCATTTAAACGTGAGCGCGGTGCGCGGAGCGCGGACGCAGGCAATCTGCTTGCCAGTACATTTTTTAACTAATTATAAAACTAATAGTAACAGAAACAATTAACAATACTAGGCACCCTGTAACATAAATATTTTATTCCATCCAATTTGATCTCAACTGCTGTGGGTTAAGAGAACGTTGATAACCGCTATAAGTAGCCACTTTTGGCGGTAATTAACGATTCTCTTAATTAATAAAATGCAAAATAGCGAAAAGTGATTACAATAATACTATAGGGATTTTACTAGTCAAGCTAATTTTAGATATTTTAAAAAGAAACAAAATGATGGGTGACACTATTTGTCTGCCCCTTAAGTACAACTAAGTATACTTTTTGCAATACAATATGTAAGGTAAGTGTTGAGCACTGTGTATAATTTAAAATCCAATTGTACATTCATTATGATTATTATTATTATTATTTATTGTTGTATGTACCTAGCGTTAAGTTAGCAAAGTTATGCCTTGTAAACAATCTGACATTCTAAACATAAACTTCCTGTGGTTTTCTTGCGTCATTTCTTTCCATAGAGATATGTTCCTTCCGAATCAGTGGTAGTTGTTCGATGTATATTAGGCCCGTTAAATAAAATATTTAAACTATAAATTAAAATAATTAAAAAGAGGGGGGGGGGGAGCGGCGAATTTCTGGGCGGCCCCGGGCGACGAAAACCCACGGTACGTCACTGCCAGTTCACATGGCGCGGCTCTCCAAGGCTACGGAGACTGCGGCCATCAAACAGCCCAGATCTAGCCCCTAGTGGCGAACTTAAAAAAAACCTCTGGGGAAATCGATTTGCTGACATAATGAGCTCAAGTACGCTGTAAATTAGTATTTTTCAGGCCAAGATGAAGAATATTTTTAAGGGAATGGTAAAGATTTGTTCACGAACACGTAAATGATCTCATGGGAGACTATACTGAAAAAGAAAAAATATTTCATAATTGTATCTTTTTTCTAAGATACCCATCCCGATAAAACATTGAACGCCTCTCGTAAGTACACTGTCACCAACTTTCAACACAAAGATGCGACTTGCATCAAAAAAATTAGTTCGGATCTGTGCAGCATGTATCCTAAATATTAATTCGAAATGCATTGAGAGCTACAGTGTTGATTCTCAAAACAGATTAGACGACGCCCGGGACTCCGACAGTTTTCGAATGGATTGCCTGATCTATGGAAATAATGTAGACTTGGGCGCCCCGACTGGCTTTATACTGCAGATCAGCATATTTTCTACATGGGGTGACCCGTACTACGTGGGGCTCACCGGAGTCGAACTATACGATCCACATGGGAATCTTATACCAGTTACTGAGACAAGTAAGTTTTTATATGATAAATTGGTTGTTTATCTAATGATATACCTACCACGTGCTTAGGTAAAGAAAACATCTCAAGACACATGTTTAAAAAACTATTTTGTACTTATGTTTTTTGTTTCGTTGTCCATTCATAATTCAGGGGAAGAGTACAAAAAATAGCTAATTTGAAGAAGGCTAAACAAACTGTAATCATCTTTGGTTTTGTAACCCCAGAGCTCAAAATACAGAAAAAACCTTTGATATATCTTTAGGGAATAAACCCAGAGAACGATATTATATCCTTCGATCCCAAATGTTGTGGCGTGCAGTAACAGCTTCTGAAAATCTGTTTGTGAGCTTATGATATTGCAATGGATTCAGACGTGTGCGCGCACCCAGCGAGCGTCAACGTACTGAACAGCCGAGAGCACGATGTCCGCACGCCGGCGCGCCTCGTGGACGGACACAACTCAAGCGCCGCTGACGCCGCGCACTCGTGGCTCGCGCCCGTACTGCCTCGCACTCTCAACAGGTGCGCACTTCCTACTGTTGCGCATTCGAAATAGCTACTGTTAATGTTACTCATTGCCTGCACTCCTTAACAGTACACATTAATCATTGCCGCGTACTCTCAACAGTACACACTACTTATAGCTGCGTCCTCGCAACAGTACACATTACTTATTGCCGTACACTTAACAATACACATTACTCATTGCCACGCACTCTCAACCGTACACACTACTCATTGTCGCGCACTCTCAACAGTACACACTACTCATTGCCGCGCACTTTCAACAATACTCACAACTCCTTGCCGCGTACTCTCAACAGTACACACTGCTTATTGCTAGAGATGGGCCGAATATTCGTTTCATATTCGGTACTCGGCAGCTTTACCCAATATTCGCATTCAGCCGAATATTCAACTACATATATCATTGAACATTCGTTAAGGTGGTACTCAAAGTCAACTTTATTGAAATGTACGAATTAATGCCATGTCTTTCATAATTTTACTGTTGAAAGTAAATTTTATATATGGGTTAAATCTACTTGTATAGTGTTGTGTTTTTGAGGCACTGTAGATTTATTTCCAATTACACTGCATTTTTTTTTAAATCAAACAAAGAAACATTACATTACCTTAGTACATTTCACTTTACTTTTGCCGTTAGTTTATCTAAAATAAGTCCAAATAGTAGATCTCCTGCCACTCATTTTTATCATATAATTATTAATTTTCACAAAGAATAACACAACGAAATACTTTTTTCTTACTTAAATAGTCAAAACATAGGAACGTGCCGGCAATTCGCTCAGTGATAGATGATGCAATAACATGGCAGGTGTAGCGAGGGAATGAGAAGCAGGGTTCGGCGCTAATCCCACGCGCTTTATGGTAACAAGTTTTAACATAAATTGGTTTGGTATCCTGGTGATCCTGCCAAATAATATTCGGCCGAATATTCAGTTTGGTAAAAGTTTTACCGAACTTTCGGCCGAATATTCGTATTCGGTTAAATCCATGTTCGGTCCGACTCTACTAATTACCGCACACTCTCAACAGTACACACTACTCATTGCCGCACACTAAATAGTACGCACATTTCATTGCCGCGTACTCCACAGAACACACTACTCATTGCCGCGCACTCTCAACATTACACACTACTCATTGCCCTGCACTCAACAGTACACACTACTCATTGCCGCACACTTCACAGAACACACTAGATACTCATTGCCACACACTCAACAATATACAATACTTATTGTTGCACTCTCAACACTACACACAACTTATTGCCGCGCACTCTCAACAGTACACATTGCTCATTGCCGCAAACTCAACAGTACACACTACTCATTGCCGCACACTCAACAGTACACAATACTCATTGCCGCACACACACACAATACTCATTGCCGCACACTAACTAAACTACACATTGCCGCACACTTCCCACCACACCAACTACCTTCGCACACCCCACTAAAACATTGGACACTCAAACACACCCAAAAAAACCTACACATGCCGCACAGTAATCTGTACGACTACTCATTGCCGCACACTCAACAGTACACACTACTCATTAACGCACACCTGACTAATGCCGCGCACTCTTAACAGCACAATTTGAATAGAAGTGCCAAATAAAAACTCTCGTGTTTAAAAATAAACGCCCATAAATTTTGTTTTGTTATATGAATAGTGTTCGTTTTTAAAATAACGAAGTTTTCAAATAAAAGTAAGTCTAACAAACGAGTCCATCTGATGGTTAGTAGATGATCTTTATATATCTACATCTATCTCCGATTATGAATAAAAATGCAGTTGTTAGTTGCTACCCCTGAGGACTAAGATGGAATTTCCGGTCACCAGTAAAATGTATCGCCGGCTCCCTCCACTCAAGCTGGTATTCTGTGAGAGCGTGGTTCTTCCTTGATCGAGTTGACCCATTCGGTATTTAAGCCATAATGTACTGCATCATAGCTCTACCATGTAAAGACAGTGGCATATTATATTTTAGTGGCATAAATTATCTGTAGTAATGTAAACTTACAGGGTATTTTTCGTATTCGACCTCCCAGTGTCTGTTTATGGAATGAAGATATGGAATTATGGGAAAACCCCAACGCGTGGTGTTAAGGAGTTTGGAGTAAGTTTTTATTTTTATTTTGGAAAGAGAACCCACATAATGACAAACAAAGATTTGCGGTTACCGTGATTCATAAATTTAATTCCACCTTGATAAAGACCTCAGGGTTGTGAAACAGCCTTTATTTTACCATTTAAAAAAATTAAAAAATAAATTGTACTTTATTCGACTTTTATTAGCCGGCTGTATACTTATGTTTTTAAGAGCTTAAAACTCTGACTTGATGTAAAACTTTGAATTTTACGTGCTAACCAGATCAAGAAAACTACAACTAAGGTAAATATGACAACACGGCTTTTCAGATTGAAATTTATTTTTAAACAAACTTCTGCCCACCGCTTCGCCCGTGTGAATATAAAATTGCCTTTAGTCTTTTCTGGCGGTAACTTTCCACGACCTATCTCTGTGGGTGTGGTGAAAATTTCCAAAAATCCCAATTTTCAAATATCCATCCAAATATCTTCACAAATCACAGGAATATTATTAAAATGGATTCATTTAATTAAAAATCATTTACGTTTGTGTATGGTAAGGAACCCATTTTCAGTAGTATAAACTGTTTTAGGTTTGATGAAAATAGAAGTTTGTAATTGAAGACTATTCACCAGTTCGACTGCAGAGGCCGCCTTTGTATAAGGGTAGTTCAAATTGTAGCTGAAGCTTGTTTTCGTGCTCAAACATAAATTATTAGTTTTCAAGTTTTACTAGAGGTCAAGGCCGGCCGATAGAATAATAAACCGTTATGACAAATAGTCCACACTTACTTGCTTTTTAGCCTTTACTTGCTGCCGGGGGTTTGATTTATAGCCGGCGTTAGACAAAAGAAACCTTGCGACTGTTTATTATGCAAAAAAATTGACTGCTTCAGCTACTAAGGTAACCTACCGTGTTAAGTATTTGTTGTGACCCACAAATAGTTGTTTCAGTTATGTATGTTATTTTTTCTAATCGTGAAATGTAAAATATTTGTTTGTTATATTTTTTAGATTTTAATGGACGACCTCCTGATATACAACGGAACACTAAACTGCGTGAGTGGCGCAGAGATAACGCCGCAGTGGATATGTTTACGAGACGTAGATGTCGATACAATGACGCCGAGGTATGATGATTATTAATTATTATAGTAGCATTAATCAAGACAAACCGTAATTTACTCTAAGGATTGCTAGAAAAAATTAAAATTCAGTCTGCCTGTGACTTTATTCAAATCATTGTTCATTTACTACTCTGTTTACATAATAAATAATTTAATTAATGATTTTGAGAACGACAATAACTGTAGATTTGACCTGAAAGGTGTCAAACGAGCACACAATCCACCTGACGGTAAGTGGATGCTGTGGCCCATAGAGTTCTAAATCTATCCTCAATTAGGAATCAAAACGTTGTCACCCCTGAGGACTAAGATGGAATGCCTCCAGTGAAAAGGGTCTCCGGTTCTCTACACTCACCATACAAAACACAGCAGCATTGAGCGGCTACTTATCGCTGGTATTCTGTGAGAGCGTAGTCCTGCCCCGGTCGAGCCAACCCATTCGTGCTACAACTATAATATAGCTGCAGCATGGCTTTACGACGTTATTAAACAATGGAATGTTGCTGTTATTTTTAGGTGATTGGTTTTTATTTTGCAAATCGCTACGAGAATTGTATTTGCTTTCTTCAGTAACCTTGTATTTTAGTAACAAAATTACAAAAATTAAAATACGACAGATACAATTTTTATGGAGAAATCGGGAATTTTCAACTATCTATGCTTACCCAACTCTCCACTCCACTGCTGACTTAGGCCTTTCACAAATAATATATCTATATTGTCGTCAGGCTGTCAGTATCAAAAATGTATGAAATAAATATTCAGTTGCGCTGTTCAAGAAATATAGCTCTTTTGTTGTCTGTAACAAAGTCAAAAATACCGCGCGACCGGAATCTGACCGCATGCCATACACGCAGTTTTGACACATGCCAGAATTTGGTACCTTGCCAAGCTCATGTGGTTTGCCTGCGGAAAGGAAATTAAATATGTATATTTGTTTAGTCCGTCGGACGCCAGTCACCGCTCGACGACAAGCGGTTCTCAGCAGAGCGCGGATCCTCGAGGTCGTCCATACACCAGCGTCTCACATAACTCACAAAAGCGCGTGCGTTGATACTGGAAACCGGCTGCTGAAGAAAATTTTTAACGATCGAAATTTTAAATAAAAAATAGTTTATCTATAAGATCGAATCGTAACTTATTTTAATTTATATATTACTATTGATTCTACGAAACCAACGTTTATTACTCGTACATCCTGGAAAACGATTTTTGATTATTATCTGATATTTTTTTAAATACTATTGTACCTATTTGTAAAACCAACGTTTACCGACAATGGGCACTTACACATTGGTCGATAACAACACCAACCCGATTTCAAAATTATAGGCTGCTTCGGGCCGATGGCAGACTACACAGGGTCAATTCACCTAAAGTCTGTTCGGTGAAAGATGATAAATATTATGAAAACGTCTGGCAATAGTAGTCGCTTGAGCATAGCAATCTGTTTAACAGCCGTCGCTTATCGCTGCAAGCACCGAGCTTGGCGCTACGCACAGAGTATATACCTGAAAGCGCTACGATGGCGAGCCGATGCGGTTTTTATAATCCATCAGCAAAAATAATTAGCGGGCCGCAATTGTAACGAGTTAAGGAACCCTGCTTATATAACATGTAACAAAAAGCCTGTGGTTCCCGTTAAATGCGTTATAAGAATCAGTATCCGAGCATAAAGAAAAATTTTTTTTTTCAAAAAAAAAAAAAACATTTAAAAAAATTAATTTTAATGAAAAAAAAATTTATTTGCAAATTGTATGTAGTTTTATCCCCGAATTACTGATACTCGTGTGAGTTAGAGGAAATAAAAACACATACAATTTGCAAATTAATTTTCATTAAAATTAATTTTTTAAGTGTTTTTTTGAAAAAAAAAATTCTATACGCTTGGATACTGATTCTGATAAAACACTTAAAGGGAACCACGGGGTTTTTGTTACATGTTGTATATCAGCGCCGAACAGATTTTAAACATATCATTGTAGATGTAGTAAGTTGTCTTGTTTTACGGTATATTCACTATACAAGTACAAAATATGTTAAGTGGAAAATGCAGTACCTACTTTAACAAATTATATTATTTTTATATTTAAGGTGTAAACAGTAATTGCCATTACTGTGCCATTACACATAATAGTGTAAAAGCGTTGTTTAATAGTAAATCAACGGTTTCACTGTCCCGCGTATATAGGTTATTGCTATTTTCTTACTATTGTGTCTAAAAACTAGAGATGGGCCGAACATTCGTTTTGTGTTCGATATTCGGCAGCTTTACCGAATATTCGGCTAAATCACCGAACATTCGTTTTCATAGTGTACAATATATTGCAATGTGCGAATTGAGTAATACGATGTCTTTTACTGTTGAAAGTATATTTTATTTATGGGTTAAATCTACTTACTCTAGAGTGCCTCAAATGCATAAATCTATACATTTATGTTTTTGAGGAACTGTAGATTTATTTCCGATTATGGCAAATAGAAACTTGATAAAATGTTTTTGGAATCAAAAAAAGAAACATTACATTACATTAGTACATTACACTTTGCTTTGGTCGTCAGTTTCTCTAAAATAAGTCCAAATAGTAAATCTCCTGCCGCTCATTTTTATTCATATAATTATCAATTTTCACTAAAAATGAAATAACGAAATACTTTTTTTATCACAAGAATAGTCAAAACATAAGCATGTGCCGGCAATTTGCTCAGTACTAGATGAAGCAACAACATGTCAGGTGTGGCGGGGGAGCGAAGGGCAGGGTCAGACGCTAATCCCGCGCTCTTTTCGGTAACAAGTTTCGACATAAATTGGTTGGGTACCGAGGTGACCCTGCCGAATAATATTCGACCGAATATTCGGTTCGGTAAAAATTTTACCGAACATTCGGCCGAATATTCGTATTCGGTGAAATCCATATTCGGCCCATCCCTACTAAAAACCGGATAGTGAAAGTGTTAAATTACCTGTCCGCCGATATGGTGTGGGTGTCGTTATCAGTCAATGTGAATATGACATGCGAGTGCGACCAACTAGTGGATGTCTACTTGCCAGAGGACAACTTTACATCCCCCCCCCCATTTTCGCAAGCATCTTAGTAATATAGAATCGGTCTCTTTGTTTATAATTTGAAAATTAATTAAGCAATTTATTATAAGTTTTCTTTTAACTTATTACTATAATACTTTTATCGGTATTTTATAGAAATTTCTAAAATTAAAAGTTAAGGCTGACATTTCAAAATCCTAATTCCCAAAGAGTGAAATCTGCCCCGGAACCTATAGCCGCCTGGCCCCCTTGCCACTGCAAGCTTAGAATAAAACCTTAAAAAGGAATGGTGCGGAGAATTGCTTTTATACCAAAAACGGACGTAGTTAACTGGAATGAGTTCCGGTCAAGTTTTTATTTAAATAAATATAAATCTCCGCTTTTCTTATATTCGTATAAGTGAATATCCATTAATTATCCACACACGGGAAACTTGTATCTAACTTTAATTTCAGGAAAAAGTAAACCCACCTATATCGATTTTAACGTTATGTATTATCGTAATTCGTTTTATTTTTCGTCTCAGACGCTATATTACGTAAGTATGTTCTAACAGTTTTGATTTTTTTTTCGACTAAAACCACATTTGGTAGTGTTTTATTAATTTATATCGTAAGGAAATAAGATCATAGTTTAAACGTGGTTTGTCCCAAATTGCAACAAACTGTGATGAAAACGTTTGAGGATCTTGTGTTTGTTTATATAGCGTATTAATGATTGCCCCGTTCTATTTTTAAACAAAAAGAAAACACATTGTACGTACTTAAATTTAGCTAATGTTCATATTATAATTAAAAATGAATAATGGATAAAGTAGAAATAAACCATATATTTATTCTTGTTAATATATCTACTATTATCTACCTGCTAAAATATTTGATAGTAAAGATACTTAGAACAACATTATTTTATGTAATCTGATGTATCAGTTAGAGTTACAGAAATCATGATTTAAGAATGCTACCTTAAATTTTCTTTTAATAACATATTGTATCATATTATTGTAACAACATTTTTCGGTAGGTACCTGAATGTAAAAATACGGTCGAACGACGATTCCATTTAATAAACGCCGAAATTTTGGTAAATGCCCAAGTAATCATGTGATTAAACTTTAGCCAGCATTTTTTTAAAGTTAGGTATTAAAATTTTAGCTTAATATTACTTTGGGCATTCAACTGAATTACCGTCTGATGAAACTCTTCGACTACTATAGATACATATTTGATAGCCATGATTCAAGGCAGTAACGCAAAACAGTGTAATAACCGATAATAAAGTATTTTTTCTAAGAAAATTATGCCTAAAATTAATGTAAGTCACACTGCAAACAAGTAGTTAATAGAACAATGTAGACTGCACCAACGCCAAATATTTGATCATAATTTATATTCATTTACTTATTTATTATACATTAAAGTAGCGTAGAAATGAATAAAAGCTTCGTTGAATGTTAATATTATATAGGTTGTCGTTGTTTAGTCCCTACAAACGCAAATATTCTGTTTTGTGATGTTACATATCTACTAGAGTAAATATTTTTACAATAAGACCAATTTACCACCACTGCCATAATACTATGTTTTTTTTCGTAATTTATTTATTTTCGAACCTTGTAAAATTACTAAAATTGCCGCTACACCTTCATAGTAAACATCCAGCAAACAAGTTTAACGAATATAAAATGTGGGAAAAAATTTATCCGTTCTTGTAGCTAAATTACTAACTCTTTGTATTGATTTTTGTTTACGATAGGAAAACGCCGTTGAGTTAGTGATATCATTATTTGAGAGTATACCTTATAAGTTCTGTGGCTGTACCATTTATTGTATTTAACCTGTCACCACCTGTATAATGTACAAAATGTTTAATTGGTTTGTATGTATTTAAACTTTTGTATGAACATTAAAGATTAAATTTATAAAAAGTATTTTTATTTCATTAAAATAGATCAATCGTAACTGTTTATAGAATGGTATCACGTATCACGCGGCTGAGTGCTGGCAGCGCAAGAGAATCCATCCCTCAATTTCGTCCAATGGGTGTTATAAGAGACCAGGTTAATCTTATGGCTTCCGATACAGGGTAGTATTACCATTTAGTTAACGTCTTGACACCAGATGAACGACGTAAAATAACCGAATCAGCAACGGGAGACTAAAATACCCAGGACGATCGTCAATGCGCCTGCCTAGCTTGACGATTCAGACAAAACTTCTCTACAACGCGAGGAGCAATTGCTTACCAGAAACGCACTAAATATTATAATAAAGCCGATAACATTACTAAGTATACTACCTATGATATGTATTCCTAAAAGTTTTGTCTATCCGATTGTAATGCTAGCAGTTCTGGAAAAAACTTTTTCGTCGTCACATGTGAAGATTTGAACTGACAAACAAATTATCTAATGAATTTATTAGCATTAGTTATTGGGATGGCCGATTCATTCGCCTTCGAACAGACTTCTACACTTTTGGCTACGATTATCTCAGCATGATTTCAAAGATTAGTACGAAACGGACAAAATAAATATCCCCCAAAAATTTCTAACTCGATCCTACGCTAATAATCTCATTATAAATATGATTGCCGTGTAGTGACGACGTAAGAATATCCACTATCTTCCCGCGTGGGTATCGTAAGAGCCGGCAGAAGGGCGGAGAGCAATAAAAATAACAGCGGTTACCAACCCTAGAGGGTTTAAAATATATTGCTAGATCGAGACGTGGCAACAATGGCAATTTAATATCCAAGAGCAACGACATAAAGAAACGGCCCCCTGTTCCCGGCTGCCACACTATTCCTTGCTACGGTGACGACTATTTTAACGGCGGGCCATGGGGTGCTAAGAATCCTCCGGTGGAGAGTACTGACTGTGCCATCTAAGACGACTCCACCTGGCAACAAGCAACGTACGCGCCCTGAGCACTGACGAGAAGATCCTGGAGCTGGAAGAAGATATAGACAAGTTGCGCCGGGATGTTATAGAACATGGTAGTTCGTAC